GTCGACATCGGTTTCCTGATAAAAGTATTGCGCGATGACCGTAATATAATTATATTGTAATTAAATGAAACTACACGTACACGAGGGAAACGATAATCCTGTGTAGATTTATTTATATATGCAATATATACGTATATTATTTACAATGATCGTGAAATATTAATATTGAAAATTTTTGGCAAATAGATTATACCTATGACGATATTGAAAAGGCTTTCGAGAATTTTTTACACAAAACATTCAATGGAAGATAAACATAAAAGATGTTTTAACAAATTTATTATTACTCTAATATAATATCTACAATAATTATATAAAAATATATGCTTAAAAATTTGAAGAAAAAAAAGGAAGATGCGACAAAATTATTTAAAAAACGAAAGAAAAAAGGTTATTTATGATTTACAAGCTCCAAAAATTTTTATTTGATAAACTTTTACGACAGATAACTCTTTTTAGAAAGAAACATTTTTTTCTCTACAAAAATATGGAATCATAAAGTCTTAGATTAAAATTAAAGTTGTGCGTCATATAAGACAGTCTGTATATCGAAATATAACAAACATAACAAACTACTAGAATATAAGAGTTGAAAAAAAAATAACATGGTTTATATCGCGAGCGTTGTTAATGGAATTTACACAGTAAGTATGGTGTCTTATAGAGGCAATTTATTATGATATAAGTGACACGGGTGAGTGAAGTATTATATTCGAAAGGGTTGTGTTTTAGAGCACAAAGATATTATTATGATTATCAAACAAGCACCGTTAAGCTCCGCACTTGGAACAAGAGCGGAGAACAATGGCATCCCTCTGTGTCAATTCGAGATGCCGATCCATATTTGGCGCGCGCTGACTAACTATTGTATCAATCACTACGTTTGTACAGTCGCAGAAATGTGTTTCTGTCAGCGTTCTCCTTTCCTCAACGTCGTTTTGCATTTTCAAAAGACAAATAATATCGATTGTGACGCCATCCGCGCGAGTTGCACGATTATGTTATGCTCTGCATTGCGTTATATTATATTATACATGTAATATTGTACATAGGTGTAGTAAAAAGAAATCCATTATTTTTGCATGAAATTGAATGGAAAAATAATGGATTTCTTTTTACTACACCTAATACATACATTTTAACGAAAGATTATTGGATCGCCGAACCGATCTTTATTATCACGTTACGATGCTACGACCACCGTTCTGCGGTCGTAACTTTGGTTTCGAAACTACCTGTAATGCGATAACGTAAACACCATGAGTACGAGATATTTTGTTGCCGATAAAAGTGACGATATGGCAGTCGTTGGTCTCATTTAACTTTTATTTGCTCTTTGAATATTATTCGACGATGGCTGTTTCTGTACGGTGTCCGAAAGAAACGAGAACGAACGAGCTGTTTAGCAGTTTTATTTAACGCACTCGACACCTCGGATGTATCTGAATTTGAAATAAAATGAAATATATTCATGCGCGCTCCAGTAAAACTCTAGTGAATATGTAGATCGAAATGGTTGCAACCATTACAGAATCACTGACGGCTACAGCAGTGCTGTATATCTATATACATATATGTATAGATATATACATATATGTATATAGGTATATATTTTTATGTAAACTTTTATCCATATAAGTATATTACCCATGTATATATATATATATATATATATATATATGTACATATATATCCTATATATAGGGTGTCCTGTAAAAAACACAAGGACAGAGTCCTGAGATCATTTTGAGACGAAAATTCTAATTAAAATGTCGAGGTTATAATAATGTTTTGATATTATAAGTCATATCAGTAATTAGAAATATTAATAATTTTTGCATAATTATCTTAATATTTTGTAATCTTTAGATTATCAATATTAACATGAGAGAAAACAATTAGCTTTTGACTTTATGTTGTAAATTTTACATTGCAAATTTTAGGCTTATAATTCAAAAATTATCTTCTATAATTTGGTATTAAAATTTTCATCTTCAAATAAACACAGGATATATACTTTTAAGCTGTTATGCTTTTTACGGGACACATGCATTGTTTATGTATTATACATACATATTTATTGTTTTCATTTGTCGGATTTATATGTATGGATATTATATATAAATAAGGGTATTCATCCGCTTTTTTTTTCAACACATTAAACACTTTTCGTGCGCATAACTCTTTTGAATATATAAACGGATATTTAACGCCTCTGACATGTTCGCGATGTTTGTAAGAAAAATCTTTCCGTGTACTAGCAAATTAGAGAGAAAAAAATTCATTGTAATTAGACTTTCACAGATAGCAATGCGAAGGAGAAAGTATAACTACATTAAATATCTATAAAAAACAATTTTTATTATGTAAACACAAATGTTGTCTGTCACATTTCTGATAAATGTTCTACCGAGTTGCAGCAAACAAGACATTTTTTGAAAGAGACGTAGTGTATTTTCTATCTTGACTAGTTAAGCAGCTAAAACTTTGAACTGAGAGTACTGAGACCTGTAACGAAACAGAAAGATTTAACCACAAAAGAATCCTAAAACGAAATGTAGGTTCTAAGTAACCGCAATGGTATTGGGAGATAAATCGATTTCATGAACTATATAAAGTTGCGATTATGTATGTGCTGGAAAATTTATGAGCGTCGGTATGTATCTAGTGGAAACCATTTACTGATATCTCTTAAAACATACATTATTATTAGAATATTATTAGAATATGAAATACAAAAATCTTAAAAACATAAAATATGAATTATAAAAGCATTAAAATTATTTTAAATAAACAGTATATATGTATTTTTATATAGAATTATAGAAATTATAGAAATATAGAAAAAATTCTAGTGGGAATTGAAATTGAGGAAAGTTGTTGCGAATTTTTTGATTGACAACAAGAAAACATCGTTTGTTAAAGATAATATAACATCTCATTAATTAAAGTTTATAATTTCTGAGACGGCGAGATCGCGATTATGTTTTGCATCACTTCTAGCTTTGGATGTAAACAACTTTCGCACTCTTTGTCATGCAATTACGTATTTTCTGTCGTTCATATGGAACAGTAGAATATATATAGAACGAACAATTTATAACGTTAATTATAACCAAAGGATTATCTAACACAGTTGAAAACCCTTTCTTATATTCAAAAAAGTGATCTTGCAATTATAACGAAAATGATCTAAGTGTGAAAAATAGCTAAAGTAGAAATTTCTAGCAAGTACCAAATATGTATTACATCTAATCATATAGATGACAGAGATAGAATTTAGATTTGTGTTATAAATTCTATATGTATGATACATAATTTTCTATCAGATACAAAAAATAGCTATAATTCTAGCTGAAGCAGCATATTTTTTTGTGTATAATGAAAATATTAAAATAAGCTTTGGAATTATCCAAACTAAAAAAATCATTTTATAAATAATTAATTTTTTCAGAAAATTTAATGACAAGACTTTATTTTATTTTATGTATCAATACATTTTTTTTCATTCACACAGATGTTACTTTGACAAAATTTTAATTTGAGATCTTAGCAAAATATTTAATATCAAGAATTAAAAAATTATGAAAAATGTAGAAATGTAGAAATGTGGTATGATTGTGACTTTGTTAAGCAAAAACTGTCTTCATTAGTCAGAGAATGCGCTTGTAAGTTTGAATTTATCGTAGAAGCGTTCTGTTTATTTTGTTTTGCTTTTTGTTTTCCTACTATTCTCTGTCAGAGGTAATTAAAAGTATCCGGTACAGTAAGTAGATTACGTAACGTAATCCACAATTCTGTTTTTCACTTTTTAGATTAGACAACTGACTTTTAGATCAGACTACCACGTAACTTTTACGACTTCCGATCAGAAATTTCTGATTAGTCATGATTTCTGTATCGATTTTCGGTTACGAGATGAAAAATAGCCGAAAATCCCAACGTTTAATTTTTTGGCAGTCTCTCATTCTGATCACATACTTCGTTTTGCTTTCCAAATCCCAAGGATCACTGATCGTTGAGGCTTTTTATGTACGCAAGATCAGTCACAGGATGAAAAACGAGAACATTTATATGGCGTTCCGATCAATGATTTGAACTCGAATCCTGAGCAAACGAACACGAACAAATATAAGCACTCGCAACGTAGATGCCATTTGTACTCACTGAAGCAGCTTGTTTGTTCGTATTTGTTCGTGTTTGTTTGCTTGGTCTGGATACGGCTTGATGAGCTCCTGGACACGTGATCGGTTCTCCAACGGCAAAATAGGATATTGATTTAAGCGACATATACGAAATACGAAATACGAGACACAAAATACGAAATATTTCAAACAAAAATATAGGAAAGCCTTTTACATACATTGAAACAGAGTTTTGCAGTATTATATTAACGATACGTAGCTTTCTGATCTAACTATTTTTGTACTGCAAAACGATGCCGGAAAATTCTCGAAAATTTTAAATAGTAATACTTCTTAGTTTTATGATCAAATATCGTATGTCATGAATGCTGGAATTTGTCTTTATTTATGGTCTTTTGTATTATTTAACAATGATATTCGATATCTATGGGCGATGATAAAAAAAACCAGTTTTTTTAAATCGCGTTTTCAACGTACGAAATGTCACGCTATCAGCAGTTTTTACGTGGGCCAATTCGAAAGTTTGTAATATCTTTCCTCAATCTTCTAATAAACTGTTTAAATACAATTTTATATTATATTTGATATTAAACTAAAACCTTTAATTAAATTTACACAATGTACGAATTGAAATAACTTATTTAAATAATGAAAAAGAAATTAAGTCGACTGTCTATCCATAATCAGCATCGATTTATATAAGTAAGTAACAAATTTTTATCTAAATTCAGATGATGTACAGACAATTTTTTTTTTAATTTACTCTGAAAATATGATAGTTGTGGTATAATACAATATTTTCAGGGTAAATTTTAAAAGAAATCTCTCCGTGTGAAATTCATTATGAAATTGCAGGTGGATCGGATGGAAAAGGAGGAAAAGCAGGTAGAGGGTGGTCTGGTGCAGTCTTCCGGTGGTGCTTCTGATTCAAGGATGGGCCCCGGACCTGATTCCGGCAGTAGCGCTCCCTCTTCGGTTCCCCAGTCGCTGATTACCTCGAGGGACGATGAAGATGATGAGGATGAGGAGAGTAGTGATAAGCGGTCTAATTACCATCGAGGATCAAGGTTAGTTATTTTTTATGCATCCTTGCACCTTGACCATAATCCTGATTTTAGCCTTTAGCATTTTGATACACAAGTCGAAAGATGGTTTCGTGCCATAAATTATATGGAATAAATTACATATTATTCAAATTAAATATATCAAAATTTCTGATTACAGTACATAAATATGTAAACGTAAATTAAAATCAATGTCATTAAAAGATTACTTGTGTGGAAACTAGCGATTGTTCTTTCCTTCAATCTTTTAATATGAGTGCTGTTTCCACATCGGATATATCGGTTAATAATTTAACATTAATCTCATTAAGTATGAACTCGTTAACGTATACGTTCTATTACATATGAGTAAAATTAACACGTAATTATATTTGCCACATAATTCAGCTTGAGATCAAAGTTTATGAAATAAATCTGCTTCGTCCAATAACAAATTTTTATCTTCTTTTGTATGGAGCTGCAGAAATTAAAACAAATTACATAATTGATAAATGCATAACGTACACATTGCACGAAGAATATCAGTTATTAATTGCTGCATTTGTACAAAAGGAATTGAAAGAAACATGAAAATTTGTCTATACACATGCGCATTTATTCGGAGATAGCTACTTTATGTTTCTCATTTACGCTGGAGATAACTACTCTATATTTCCTGTCTTTTTGTGCAATTGATTAATTGCATATTAATTTAAGCGTATCAATCAGCTGTACTGATTTAGGTGTCCAATCAAGGAAATCCAATTAATTTCTATAATTTTGATGTGTGATCGCGTACAGAGAGAGAGATTTTGAAAATAGAGACGAATTGCTACTACTGCTTTTACGTGAACTGCGAAAAGAAAAATGACAAAGAGAAAAATTTTACAGGTGCATCTCTGCGAAGGAGATAGGTTCATAGAAAATTATATAATGCTGAATACAAGATTCCCTTTTACTCATTTTCCTCGACATTTTCCTCTCTTTACTCACGAAAGAGTGACGACCATTCCAGTTAACAGCAGCAGCACACTGTATAATCTTGGAATTGATTTGTCTCTTGGTACGCATGTCGTCTTGATTCAAATTTAAAATAATTCGCATATCGAGAATGCAGAAAAACTCGCTAAATTTTGTTGTTTAATTTCTAAATATAATATATTAATATTCTTGGACGGATTCTTCCACGGGTGCTTTTTATATAAAGATTATGTATTTCGCGGGTTTCCTCCGTGTCCAGATCCATTCTTGGAACTACCAACGTTTCGTGAACCTTGTAGTCCACTTCATCATCCAGCACAAAAACAGTCTGCAATCATCTCACTTGTACATAGAGTTTTCTGATAAAGAACATCAGACAAAACTCAACCACTTAAAACTAGCCTTACAGAAAAATGACAAAAAAGCCACAATCAAAACAATCAATAAACATGCAAACAAGATAACGGTTTCTGATACACAATCAGACGAAAAGATCCATTCTCCCAAATATGTCAAAGGAACAACAGATCGGATTGGCAAGATATTAAACAAACACAATATCCGAATTATCTTTAAACTACCAAAAAAGATAGGACAAATCTTAAGAAATCTTAAAGATCAAAGCTTTCCATTCAGCTCCACAGGAGTATATAAAATACCTTGTTCCTGCGGGCAAGTATACATTGGAGAAACCGGGAGAATGGTCAACCTACGGATAAAAGAACATCTCTATGGCTTCTTTAAACTATTGTGGTCGTTTTGTCAAACAGTATTTGATGTCCTGTTTCGATGTTATGTTCTGACATCACGTTGAGTGAAGAACACCAACGTAATGTCAGACTAAAACACGTCACGCAATCAGCATTATCAGAACAACATCGAAACAGGACATCAAATATTGTTTAACAAAACGAATAGCCAACATTACATCACACTTTCCAAGAAAGTATAGAGAAGTCATAGAGATACAAAAATACCTTAACAATCTAAATAGAGATAATGGCTATAAATAAAATATGGAAAACCATTCTCCCGGTTATTAAAGACTGACCAATTTTCCCCCACTCACATTTTTCTTCTTTCCTCCCATCACTCCAAGTGTAATATAAAAGGAACGGCCTGGAGAAACAGCTCAATATCAGGTTGTTCCTCGCCCTGACGAAGTGGACTGCAAGGTTCATGAAACGTTGGCATTCCAAGAATGGATCTGGACACGGAGGAAACCCGTGAAACGCATAATCTTTATATAATATATTAATATTTAATTTCTTTACTATTATTATGCGAGCGTTCCTCGAATTTCATCGTGATTGTGACGATAGTCAATTGTGACATTTTCTGCGATGTCTGTGCAAACTATAATATTTGAAAATTTTATTCGATACTGGGCATACATTTAATCCCGCTCATGGTGAGAGTATTCTAAGTATCGATTGTGCTTTCAACGCGCATTAATATTCAATATTTAACAATACCTGAATACGGCAATCTGTGTTGCAACATACATAGTATATTTTAGGATGTAACGGATAAATTGTACTGTTAGAACTTAAAAAGCAATACAAATTTTTTTTGTTATGTCCAGCGAACTCTCATGACTCTTTTCTTTTGTGAAGATCTAGAGTTCGAATATAAAGACAGTTACGAGTGACAGATAAATTGAACCGTTACATCTTAAAAAGCAATAAAAATTTTTTTCTCTTATGATAACCTAAAGACTCCAGTATCTCCTTGTAAATGTCAGTCCAAGATAAATTAAAAATCGGCATGTAATATGCAAATGGCAGGATTAAAGAGACACCGATGATGCCCTCTTTGGACACGCGACTAGAAAAAAAAATGGTCGAAGCGAAGTGCTTCTCGGTTTGTTCGTCGCTTCTTCCCCTCAGCTCTCTTGTGGTCCAGAGTTTGAACACGACCAGAGTTTGAAATCGGTCAAAATTCGGCTCCTGCTGCGTTTACTCCCATACGTGCGGAGCTTGGACGTAACAATAGCGGGAAATATCGGTTTTAACTCTCTAACAATATTGCACATTGTTTCAAACTTCATCAACATTCTTCGTTTTAAATTTACTATTAAATTCTTTTACTCGCAATCATCTCAGGCGGATAAAAAATATTGTCAATGATGAAAGGATAATTAACTTATTCTTATTTATTTTATTTACTGTCTTTCTCACAATCTCTCTCTTTTAATTTTACGGTTTTCTGATGAAACGAGTTCTAGGGGTTAAATTTTGTAAATTATTTTGAAAATTATACTTTGTAGTAGAAAAGTAGAAAACTTCTCTGAAGTAGAAAAGCGAAACTGATTGTAAGTAGTATTTCATTCTAAGACGAAAATAAGTACTGTATTTTAAAGTCATATGCAATCGTTCTCGGCAAAGTTTTACGAACATTTGGCAAGTGTGTCATATTTACAAATTCCTCATTTCTCGATATGTTAAGAATGTAATTCATTGTCGATGTTATCTCTGTTCTACTGGAAAATATCACGAGCTGGACTTATTTCCAATTTTTAAAGACATTTCGCCTCGTATATACGCTTTTTCCATCAGTTCCAACGAACTTCCCACGATTATGGCGGAGTATGATCACGTAATCTAACGAGTACTTGAGTTTTGATTAAAAATCACCACTGGCATGCACTTCACGTTCTCTCAGACAGAAAATGCGCAAACGGCATTCGTAGCGAGATAGATGATTACATAGTTTGCTTGAGATGCACGAATGCATTCGATTTATGGTCTCCACATTTCAATTAAAAAATAAATACCTTTAGTTTACGATATCGTACAAATATTAGGATCACAATGTAATGCGAATCTAAATCCAATATCTTGTAGAATATCATAGAGTTGCATAAGTGACTCAAAATGTCATCATTCTGTATATTATATTATATTATATATAATATTTATATAATATAATATTTTAAATATGTTAATATAAAATATATGATTCAAAAGAAGATGAGAAAGAGAATTAAAGTTAAAATTTTCTATTATTATCGATATTATATTCGATGATCTGCCTTAATGTCATTATAAGCTTTCTCTCATTGAAATACGTCTTCATCCGAGGAAAAAATTCAGTCTCGCGATAAAGACTGGTTCATTCGATATCTCCGCGAGACGCGATATTACATGTCCGCCGCGACAAGAAAATACTGCCTCGAGACATAATTCTTGTAAGTTTTGGAAGAAAATCTCTTACCTTTTGCATTTTAGCGAAAATGGGACGTGTCTCCATCTTCATGAACGCAAGAGCTGTAATTGACCCGAGAATAATAATCCACGGGGAGATCACCGGATCGACGTTATTAGAGCTGCACTAATGTCATTACAGTAAACCTGGTCAGCGCATCGATATATAAAAAAACGTTATTTTGTTGCAGTATTCTCGTCGTACATCTCAGTTTCGTTCTTTAATCTTTTTTCAATTAATTATGAAATTTTAGAACCGGTATGTATTATAACCGGTATAATGCGGAAAGCTAAAATTGAATTTGATCGAATTTAATTTACTCTTCTTTTAATATTTTTATTCAGAATTTTGTAAAAATATCCTAAAGTCTCCAAAATGAAAAAATGTGGAAATATAGAAATTGTATTATTATATAATATTAATTTATTCCGTATAGATACAAAAATGGTTAAGTAATTTTTATCTTACAAGATTAGTAAAACATTAGTAAAAATATTTTAGCTATCTTTGTCGAAATTATAAATTATTTTGTCGAGATAAACATTACTTGTCTGAAATTAAAAATATCAGAAGCAGAAAGTAAAAATTACAATTATGATAAATTAATTTAAGTAATTGTATTTTACAGTATAAAGTAAATCATGTTATTTACAAATAACTCTAAGCTAACAACTCTCAAGACTTTATATATTTATTATTATATCACGCAAAATAAATTTTGTCAACGCTAAAGCAAAAAATATTTATCGATAAAGTAAATTCTACACCAATAGTTGTAGGAAACTTTCAGTAAGGTTTCAAAATCATTTCGAACCTTTCACATTTCATATGTAATA